AAAGACATTATTCAGAGATGAAATAATAATACCTCAACCAGTTCAGCGCCTCCCCAGGGAAAACAAGATAGAATGCAAGCTATGTAAAAGTCAGCACAAGCCTGCCATGCAGGGTTTCCCTTCTCATCATCCACTATTGTGGTAGCTGAAGATAATAATGTCTCAAAAACAACAACTAGAGATGTGGACGTCAGGACTTTACTGCTCATCTACGTAAGACAACAAAAATGCTTAGAAAATCAGAATATTCTCTCGAGAAGACAAAATCAAAACTCTAAGATGTTAGGCTTTCTAATTTTGAAAAATGATAATAATCAGTCATAAAAAAATATATGTTGTGATAGCAAAATCAAGCATACCAATGCGGTTAGAAAGCGTAACAAAATCCGGATCTTGTGGCAATGTCCAGAGTTTAAGGCATCCTGAGAAAGAACTAAGAGTAAGAACAACAAAATATCTCTGATAAAATAATTGAAATTTGTATAGTATGAATGGAAGTCAGACATCCCAAAAACATTTAATTTATTGCTCTTCTATTGTAGGCACTAACATAAGAGTAATCATACAACAACTAATACTACACAACAACTAGTACTCGTCCTAAATTGCACTATGCTTATGTTATTCATGGATATTGTATATTTTCAACACAGGTGTGATAAATATTAATCTTTAAGGCATTATTCTATTGCTATTATTTATTTTATAAATTTAAAGTACATCCTCTTTTTTTTTTCTTTTTTTTTTCTTTTTTTTTTTTTGTTTTGTAAACTTACACGTTTAGTCCCTAAACTTTCAAGGTTATATCAACTAAGTCTCTACGCTTTAAAAATGTATAATAGATCCCAGAATTTTTAATTGTATCTAAATAATTCCTTGATCTATTCAATAATTTTNTTTTTTTTTTTTTTTTTTTTTTTTTTCTTTTTTTTTTTTGTTTTGTAAACTTACACGTTTAGTCCCTAAACTTTCAAGGTTATATCAACTAAGTCTCTACGCTTTAAAAATGTATAATAGATCCCAGAATTTTTAATTGTATCTAAATAATTCCTTGATCTATTCAATAATTTTTTTTAAAGACATGAACCTATTGACACTCGACCCTAACATTTCAATTTTGTGTTCTCTGTAAATATTAAAAAATGTTGAATAGGTTAAAAATTTAGACAGAAAATTGAAGGTTCAAAATTCTATTTAGACACAAAATCGAAAATTCAAGAATTTATTATACACAAAATTGAAAGTTTAAAGACTAAGTACACACTTTTTAAAGTTCAAAGACTTGTTACACACTTTTTACAGAAGAAGGCAATTGCTAGTATTTAGGGCCTAGAACGGAACGATTGGGTCACCTCTTATCCTATAAGCGGAGCCACGAAGCAATACCCAGCCTTGGTTTGATGTAGCAAAGAATACTGTTGTTTATATAAAATAAAACTTATGAATGTTAGAAAGGGGAATGGTAGAATAATCAAATTTTGGAAAGACAAATGGATTGGAGCTTCTTCCACTATTAAGCATGACTTCCCAAATCTGCTCAACATCTCTTGAAGCCAAACAACAAAGAGGCAGAAGGTTGGAACCCGATAAAATAGAAGCCACTTAATGCAATTTCTTACTCAAAAGATGGCATAGGCATGGAAACACTCATGAAGAAGTTTATCATCCATCCACCCATCTTCCCAAAAGTAAACATTTGAGCCCTCCCCAATGAAGCATTGAACAAATGAGGAAAAGGACAGGAAGCCCAAAGAAATTGCTTTCCAAAGATTTCTATTAGGCACTATGAAACCACCATCTGCAACCCACTTGAAAGGGGGCAGATGCAGGTCATACTGACTCACAATAACTTAGTGCCGCAAAGAGTCAAACTTCATGAAGAACCATCGCCACAACCATTTCACTAGCAGAGCCTCATTATGTAATATCAAGCTCCTATTACCTAGATCACCTAATTCCACCGGCTTCACCACAACCTCCCAATTAACCAAATGTGACCCACCCCCATTATCCACACCTTCAAAGAAACTCTTCATCTCTCCTTCAATATTCATGCTCACAGAAACGAGAATCTTAAAGAGAGACAAGCAACAAGTGAGAACCCTACTTAACACAGATTGGATAAGAATGAGTTTTCTCCATTTTGAGAAGAAGAGCTTTCTCCAAAACGACAACTGTTTCTGAATCATATAGAATTTTGAATCCCGAAACATTTGCCTTCACGGATTACCTCCCAATGGAAGCCCAAAATAAGAGGACGAAAGTTGACCCACCTCACACCCAACCAATGAGGCCAAAACACTTAGCTTAGAATGAAAAAGGCTAAGGTCAAGTATAAATTTCCATCCTATTAATCTTAAGTTTCAAAGTCACTTCAAAAAGGGATTAAAAAAACTGTTGAAATTCGGCAAGAAATTTTTCTGCCCCAAACATAAGAAGATTGAATCTTCCGTGAACTGAAGGTGAGACAAACTAATTGACTCCTTCCCCATTTGGAACCTCTCAACCACCTCTTTTTCCACGCCTAGCAACGCCAATCTTCTCAACACACCCACACTTGGATAAACAATAAGAAATAGTACTAGGAAGGACTTTCCTCAACCTGTTCTCAAGAGTCTTAGCAATCATCTTATAAAAACTAGTGACCAGGCTAATGGGCCTAAAGTCTTTTACCCTGTTAGTGTTCTTTCTTGGAAATAAGACACACATAGGTCTCGCTCATGCCTGTGTCAATAGTGCCTCTCAAAAAAAATCACTCAAAACTTTCCACGTATTCTCTTTGATGCATTTCCAATAATCTTGAAAAAAAAGGTCATGGTACAATCGTCATGCCTAGGGGACTTATTTCACCAGATCACCTTGTGAATAACCTCCACAATAAAAAAGGGGCATCAAACTGCTCCCTTTCCCTCTCTAAAATGGGACACCAGTCTAAGCCTTCTAGGAAGGGACTAGGGACACACGAGGACGTAAAGATTAGAGAATTTAAAAGTGTCTTAATATAAAAAGTTCTTACTACACTTCACAAAGACAATGACAATGCCAACTGCAAAATCACAAACCTGAAAACTTTGGTGAGTTTGCTCCACAATTTTCTTCACGAAGTCTTCATTTTCCAAATTCATCAATCCGATCTGTAGGCACGACAATATAGACATGCGTCACTAACGCAAACTAATACCATCATTGAGAATTATAAGTGTTGTGCCATGAAATATTTTAAGTGTGAGTAAACACCTTCATTTTTTTAAAAGATAAAAAACCACATTTTCATAGAGAATGAAAGAATAACAAAGGATATAAAATAAACAAGGGACATACAAAAAGATAGCCCCATAAAAGAAGCCAGACAACTTATTTCTTTTTTTAAGATAAATAAAACACATTTTCATAGATGAAATGAAAGAATATACAGAGAGAATATTTAATTGAGAAAAAAAATCAGAACAGAGGGAGCAAGGCAACAAAAACCAGACTAGGAAAAGGGGAAAAAGGGCTCCAAGAACTAAGAAAACTACAATTTTTATAAGGTAGTCTTTTTCTATACGGAACATACAATTTTGTTAAATCAAAAGAATGAATAAATGAAGAAGGGAAATGTCTGACCTATGTAGCTCTAAAGACATTCTCCAATTGCAGCACAAACGACAAGCTAAAAAGAACGGAAAGGCAACAGCAAAAGGAAGGCTATTGCATTTTATAAATTTAAACCTCAATTTTGGTCTTTTTACGGGAAACATATAGAGAGTTCGTTAAATAAGAATTGTACAACTATAGAATACATGTAACAAATAATTGAGAAGTTAAAGCTAGATCGCACGACCTAACAACATAAGCTGATCAACGAAATACATAAATGAAAAGAAAATACATTCACTGGAAGACTGAAGGATGTAATGTACTTTACCAATGTCCCGTACAAAGGAGTTTTATGAGGCAATTGTTCAACACATTGCAGAAGGAACTGTCAGACGAGGAAAAAACAGTGTAAATACCATCAGCATAGAGTAGTTATTAGACAAAACTCAAGTTTGCCACAAAGGGAGACGACTTAAGAGATAACCAGCCAAAAAAGACTCAGTTCACACATACTACCAACATAGTGATTCAACTAGTACAGTTTCAACCAACACAAGAACTGCAAATTTTATCAACACCCAGATAAATTATAGAGAAAATAACGTGCAGAGGCAAGTGATTACAGGCAAAACTTCATCTCCATAGTGATCCAGCTCCCGCCGAATCGCTGCGAAGCAAGTTTCCTGCAAATCCCAGATAAAAATGAAGGACAAGTAATCGAATAGTGGAGTATAAATTGAATGAAGGTGAGAGAGAGCCGAACAATGTGGTCTTTGAAATCGGAGGAGGTGCCGTATTCCGGGGACTTGTCGCCAATTCGGAGAAGAAGACTCTTCCAGCTGCTCATTACTGCCTAGAAGAAGGAAGGTGATTTTGTATAGGGAAAAATGAGGAGATGGTGAAGTGGGTTCGAATTACACGGGACTGCAGACGCCGATGAGTTTCCGGAGCAGGACAAGTCCGGCAGTGGAAGAAGTGCAAATGTGTAAAACCGGGAGACGCTTCCGTGGGAATTAGAAGGGTTTTGGGACCGAAATTACAGTTATCCCACAAACCCTAGAATAACAAGAATTCGGCACTATATAGTTTTCTATTATATTTAATTTTTTTATCTGTCACTTTATTCTAGGTAAATATTTTATATCTATTTATTTTTTTATATAATTTATTTAATTAGGTAAGTAATAGTTTTAAAAAATATTTTTTTGAATTTTTTCAGGTAAATAAGGTTAATGAATTTTTAAAATTTTATGGGTATTTTTTAAATGAGAATAATATTTTTGAAAATTTTGCTTATTTTAAAATTTTCTTTTTAAATTGGAAAGATATAATTGAAAGTTTTAAAATTAAATTCAAATAAGATCGATTTATTAAAATTAAATTCAAAATAAAAAAGAAAAAAAAAAAGGAAAAAGAAAAGTCTAAAAATCGGGTTAGCGGGCAAATCAGAAACCCTTGTTTCGATCCCAAAAAACCCCGACATCTTCTTCTCTTCCGCTTCCCCTCGCCATTTTGCAGAAACGACGAACAGTTCTCAGAGACGTTGCTTAGCCATGGCGAGCGCTGATGTAGAGGCTGTTGACTTCGAGCCCGAGGAAGACGACCTCATGGACGAGGATGGAGCCGCCGAAGCCGATGCCTCCCCTCTAGCTCCTTTTCCTAAGCTCAAATCCGCCATTACCGGTGGCGCATCTTCCTCGCTGGCTGGTGGTCCGAAGAAGACCAAGGGTCGTGGATTTCGACAAGAGTCTGATCGTAATACCCGCCTTACTGGGTCCGACTTCGATTCCCTCAAGTCTGCTGATGGCCCTGGTCCCCAACGATGTTAGTTTCACCCTTCTCTATTTCTGCATCTCCCCCTTCTTCTTCTTCTTCTTCTTCTTCTTCTTCTTCTTCTTCTTCTTCTTAATTACTTAGTTTTACAGATTTGGTTTTTCCACTTCATTTTGCTGGTTTTTCCTTTCGTTCATTATAGCTAGGGTTGTGAAATTTTGGATGGTTATTTACTCGTTAGGTGGCGGGTTAGATGTATTATTATTACGATTGTCTTAGGATAGGAAGATAATCTTCTCAATTGGTTTAAGAATTAAGATCCTCAAATTTTGTAAGCCCTAGAGTTAACATTACAAGAACCTCCTTTACCGGTATGAATGTCGAAGCGAGGTAGCGACATGGATAGTGTTACAGATTCATGGTTCATTAGTTACATATTGTTTCTAAGAGGTAATTTGAGGTTGGTTTCCGTTAAGCCTTTGGTGTTCGGGAGGATTTCTGGCTACTTATCTTAAAGGGAGTGTTCTCTTCTTTGTTGGTGGAAGAATAACCTTGTTTGCTGGGTTCTTTCAAATTACCTCACTCTTCCCCTTTTCTATGCCCCTTCAAAAGTTATTTAGAAAATTGGAGTTGGTTCAATTAGGTCATTCAAATGATCTTACCTAGTCACTCCCCCTTGTTTGGCTTTCTGAGCATGTCCTTGGTACACTGTTGTGAACAACTAATGCTTCATTATGTGATATAAACAGTTCTAGAATAGTTCATATGGAGAGCAACAGATCCTTTAACTAATACTCCTTAGATTAATGTCTTATTCTAGTTAATTTGTGTAGCTATTGAAGGATGGATCATTCTGGTAACTGGTGTACATGAAGAGGCACAGGAGGATGATCTACAAAATGCATTTGGTGAGTTTGGGGAGATAAGGAATTTGCATCTAAACCTCGATCGTCGTACTGGATTCGTCAAGGTATATTGGTTCCTATATTATTAAATTTTCCCCCTACAGAAACAATAATTTATGCAGCTTTGTTTGTAATTAGAGAAAAGAAGAACATGCATGTAATTGCTTTTTTTTTTTTAGTTTTAAAAAGTAGAAAACTAGGAGATTTTTGGACGAACTAAAATAGAAATTTCATATTTTGCTAATGATCAGATGGTCTGTAAGAAGAATGGAATAGTATTGCAGAATTTATTTTTTTATATTTGAAAACATTTTATCCTTTGAAAGCACAATAAATTGTTTTATTCTTCAATAAGTTGTACCAAATAGTTCCCCATCCTTTCATGTTTATTCTCTTTTATCAAGTCAACCCATTGGGGCAATTCTTTTCAAGCTCCATTTGATCTTGTTTATATCATCTTTCTTGATTGAAACTAAGGGCATTCCTTATGAAAATCAATTATTCAATGGAGTAGAAAAGGGCAACCTGAGTACAGCTCAAGTGGCAACTATATTATGGTTTGCAAGTTTGAACTCCTACCTTCTTCTTTGCAATATAAGGAAATTGAAGGCGAGTTTCTTGATTTCTATGCCAAAGTATATACTAGAGATGACTATCGACGGTTTTTGCCTACAAAATGTGGATTGGAGTCCAATTTCTGGAAAACAAGTGCTCGTTTTAGAAGCGCCTTTTAACTCTTTGGGGAAAACTGAACTTCGAGTCCAGATGGTTCTACAATTGGATTTTTCGAACATATTGGAAAGTTATCAAATCTGACATTGTGGCCATGTTCCTGGATTTCTATAATTCTAGTGTTATAAATGTGTCTCACAATCCTACATATTTGTTTAATCCCAAAGAAGTCAGATGTGCATGCTTATAGGTCTTTGGGGACTAATAGGAGCTCCACAAGCATTCGATTAAAGGAGTCTGCCTTTTCCTTTGAACGATAGCGTGAAGGGACTTTGGGGGAGCCACTCTGCACCATTTCTTTTAGGATCATCTGGACTTCGAAACCACTTTTCTTCAGTCCTTGTGATGCTCATATTTGAAGCTTGTTGTTCTAAGAATTGACAATATTATGAAATGTTTCATGCGAAATATCTGGATTAAAGAAAACTTAATCTGAAGTCCAGGTGACAAGCTTCTGTATAGCCCTTCTCTTTTGTGCTTGCATATCTCTCGTTTAAAGTTTGTTTCTTGTCACAAAGTATAAAATAGCGGAGCATACTGCTCTACCAGGTATAATTTCTTTGTAACATCATCATCATTCCCTTGCTATGTTATAACCATGTATTTATATTCCCAACCAACCTTCAATTTTTGTCAAATGAATACCATGTTTTGTCACAGACGGTCATGATATGAAGCGATTGCAAGCATATCATATTGTTTTAGCACACTCATATCTCATCTGTTATCGAATATTGACTATTCTATTGTTACTATTTTATATAAATTCCCAATTTTTTATTTTGGGTTTGTCAAGGGATATGCGTTGATCGAATACGAGAACTTTGAGGAAGCAGAGAAAGCAATATCTGCCATGGATGGGTCTGAACTTCTGACCCAAATTATCAATGTTGATTGGGCATTCAGCCATGGACCCATCAGGAGGAAGAACACAAGGTATGCTTCTCCTAGATTACTAAATGTTTGGTTTGCATTGTAGAAAAGTCATGAACCACATGTATCTTTTTTTTCTAATTTAATTGCTCCAGGCCTACTCGGGAACGACGTTCAAGGAGTCCTAGGAGGAGATATTAGTCTTGAGGTGAAGAACTTCATGTGTGGTGTTTATGGATTTTAATTGGAAGTGAGTTTTTCTTGTGGAATGGATTAGAAGATGTTTCTACTGAGCTCTACTCGTTGTCTCGAGATTTCCTCTGGTTTCCAGCCTTTCTTTCTCGGACGTTGTTTTGGGTTGATTTATGTAACTTAAAAGATTTGAGGTTCATGATTTTCCTTTTTTCTTCTTTTGAGTACTTGAGGTTTATGCCTTAATTGTGTTGAATATCTGCTATATTATATAATATTTTTTGTTCCAAATTTGTCTATTAATGTATAGCCTTTGTGTTTTGTAGTTTAAATTCTATTTTTTTTTAGTTTTATTAACTCGGCTAAGCTATACAGTTCAAGTTCACTTTTAGTAGATAACATCTTTTTTGGGGATTTTAAAACGTGTGCTAGAAAGAGGTTTTCACATCCTTGTAAATAATGATTCGTCTCCTTCTCCAATGAACGTAAAATATCATAAAAGCCCTCAAAAAGTTTTCACACCTTATAAGTAATGTTTCGTTCCTCTTTTCAACTGAAGTGAGATTTAAGCACTAAAAAAAAATTGGCATCGAAAGAAAGAAATCAATATACTAACAAACATGGCTATAATAATTGTTCATGTATTTAACAATCACAAGAACGAAAACGACATTACAATGTTCACATTGATTAAATTTTAAGAGACTATACTCTACCATTTACTCAAGTCGAGCAAACTTAGTAGTCCATTTATTGTTTGTAATAAGTATTTAATTGAAGTATTATTGTTATTATTTGGGTGATTAGTTGAAGTAAGCAATATTCATGATGTGGAAAAAAGAGGAAACGAGACAAAATCAGGGAGGGTGTCCTAATAAAACCAAACACACCCTAAAGCTTTCACCTGGTTTATGGTAATGCCAACCATACTCCTCCCCTCTCTACTCTCCACCCACCACTTCTCGTAACTATTCTCGCTCACGTTTCGGTTTCAGTATGTTGTAACTTCTGAAAAGAATAAAAGTATTTCCGAAACAAAATCAAAGGTTGATGGTACTTTTGAAATCTAGCTCAATTTGTACGTATACTGTGAGATCCCACGTCGGTTGGAGATAATAATGAAACATTCTTTATAACGAACGCGTTTTAAAACCTTGAGGGGAAGCCTAATGAAGACAATGTTTGTTAGTGGTGGGCTTGGAGTTATTACAAATGGTATCAGAGCTAGACACAGGACGGTTTGTTAGCGAGAACGTTGGCTCTCAAGGGAGTGGATTGTGAGATCCCACATTGGTTGGAGAGGGAAATGTAGAAACCTTTTCTTAATATACGCGTTTTAAAACCTTAAGAGGAAGCCAAAAACAGAGTCCAAAGAGTACAATATTTGTTAGCGATGGGTTTGAACTGTTACATATATGTATATATATGTTACTTAAATGCTACTTGATGCATGAAACTAAATCCACGTGTAAAACAAAATATAAGTCATTCATCAACAAAAATCATTTCTAAATGACGTATCATGTGTGCACATAATTGAATGATACAAAAGCTCTTGACTCTAAGGTTTAATTGATTTTGATTATGTAAGAACGCAATTTGAAATTTGACTCATTAAAGTAGCGATATTTACGAGCTGAGTTTTGTGATATTTTGGACACAATTCACTTTAGCCATAACTTCTCGTGACTTTACTTTTGGTTTCACGAAAATGTCTCGTAATAATATATCTCTATCTTAGCTACTGTGGAACTTTGTTTCAACTCCCAACCGTGCTCAAACCAAGTACAGTTGAATAAATTTGTCAATTCACAACAACGAGAGCTTGCTCTTCATCCCGAGAGCACGAGCATAAAATACACTTACTTTTATTTATTTTAAAATAATAATTAAATTATTTATCTAATGAACTAGGTAATAATTAATGATCAAGTTGGCATTTAAATGTAGCAATAATTAAGGCTAGTTGAATTTCAAATAAAGTACAAGCCATGTGAATACCAAAATAATATTTTAGAATGTCATGTCACATTTCATTATTTAATTTAAACTATATTATTGAATGTGAACATAATTGAATAATATTAACATATTAAATCCAATATCAAATCTTCATTCCGTAATAATTACTCGTTAGTCCTCTCTTTAATGGCGTGTAATACCTTATCTATTTGCAAAAACGTGAGATTTTCCGACGTTATCGTTTTTCTTAAACCCATTCTTGTTAGCACTGTTATTACACATTTTGAAACCATACTAAACTCGTTGAGCTCGCCCTCATCTTCCCAGAACAATGGTCGTGTTAATCCTCTGCATGTTTGCTCGTCTTTCGTTTGCTAGATCGAAGGTCACTGTTTCGCTGGCGTTTATGTCCGACAAGACAAAATCGTTCGTCTTCCATACTTTTCTCTCGTCATTTCGTATTTCCTTTCCATACAAGTGAGGTATGAGGGTTTGCTGAAGTGTAGGACTTCAGGTATGGTAGTGGGTTTCGTTTTTAGACCTTGCCAGTGTTCTCGATATCTCTCTCTCTCTCGGTTTTCCTTTGTTTTCTCTCTGTTGCAAGTACTATGGGCATTGACTGAAGGATGAGCGTTTGGAGAGGGTCGTGGAGCATGTTTCCATGATCCTCGCGTTATTTACGGCGACTGCGTAATTTCAATTTGGTTGAATTAATGGGTTGAGTTATGAATTTCTAAAATACTTACCATAAGTCTCCTAACAATTTTTGTAACAGCTCAAGCTCAACACTAATAGATATTACCTTCTTTGAACTTCCCCTTCCAAGTTTTTTCTCAAGATTTTTAAAATGCGTTTGTTAGAGGTTTTCACACCCTTATAAAAAAACATTTTATTTCTCTCTCTGGTCGATGTGCGATCACACAATCCATTCTCTTTCAGGGCCCATTGTCCACACTGACACTCGTTCTTCTCTTCAATCGATATAAGACTTCACAATTTCACAACACATTTGAACAAAGTGCAATCAATCATAGCATATCATAGATGAGCACGTGCATACACATCTATGGTAAACGTCACAAAATAAAATAATGAACCAAATATGAAACTACCCTATTGGAAGCATTAAGTATAGAAAGAAGGCCATCGTAGGGAGGGGGTCCCCTAATTGAGGGGGAGCTGAAATAACTACAGATGATATTATAGGTCAATTTGTGGGCTACACATATTGTAGCAGCCATGGCTGTAAATGCACCTTCAACCTCCCTTTAACTCGCTCACCCTTATTGCCATTCAACATGCCCTTCTTTCTCGTCTTTCAAATATTTTTGGGTCGGGTTTAGAAGATTTGATCCTTTAGAATACGTGTATAATGTCGTCTTTTAGAATGGGTTGAGTTGAAAATATCTTTTAGACCAACCCGAGCAACAACACTAAAGTTCACAACCCAACACAATCCAACCCTTTATTTTCAGTTTAGGTTGGGTTAGTTTGTCATGTTGTTATCAAAAGAGTTCTAATTCTTCACGGTACAAAAGTCAAATTCAAAAAACATTGGGCTACATCAACAACTAGAATCTAGTCAAATTAAAAAATCAAACATTCACAAGTCACACCACATCACTAACGTTAGTTAGTAGGATTGAATTGTAACTCTATTTTCGAGTTGGTCGAGCTGATCCAACAAAAAAAAAAAAAAAAGTCAACCCACGAACTGATCTTAATTTTTCGAGTTTCCAAAAATTCAACCCAATGAAAAAAAAAAAAAAATTTAACCCAACCCAACTTTCATGATTTGGATTGGGTTATCCAAGTTGGTCAAGTTCTCCGATCACATGAGCACCCCTATATAATGTTTAATTGTTGTTCGTGAATCTACCTATGCAATATAAACATTCTAATAAATCGAGAAAATTAATAAAATTTATATTTCCTAAGTTCAATAAATAAATGACGTCATAATGCAACCATCATTTTATTATCGTCATCCGTATCTTTGATCCAATCATTATGTTTTATCTTAACTATATACATGAATGCATCTTTTAGTCAAACTTCTAATACGTCATCCAGACGTCTGTAAATACAATAAATTCAAAAAACGATTCTTCATTCTAATAAAATAAATTCTATATTTCGTTTGTTCAATTACTGGGTCGATTGGTTCACAAATATTTATGGTTGACCAATTTTTTTCTTATATTAAACGGATCATTAACCGATCTAACGATGTGATTAATAACCAAATATCAGAGTCAAAGATCCTACCAAATTTAAGGGATTCTATGTATTCATACGATGAAGATGAAAAAAAATGAACCAAAAATTAAGTCCGTTGACTTCTATAAACCCTATAAAGAGAAGTCCACGTTTTCTAATAAATAATTGTTCTTTAAGCAACTACAAAAGGATAAACATCCAAACACTTTCCCATGTGGTATAATTATTATATAAAAACTCAATCTTTTATTTATTATTATATTCTCGATCAGCTATATTCGGTGATACGTACTCTTCGTTTCTGAGAGTGAATATTATCCTTATAGACTAACACAAGTCCTTTCAACATATTTTGTCTTCACTCATCCTAAATGATTCTCGAGAGGTTGCGTAGCATATAATTGCTCTTAGCAAAACATGTTTGATTAAGTCACCGAAAGGGAATGTGTATCTTGTTAGTATAGGTAATAACTTTAATTTTCTTTAAGTTTCTTTTAGTCGTTCTATCAACATGATTGTTTTCATTCGAATGTAGTCTCGGTTCATTTATGTACAATTCCTTTACTTGGGTGTCACAATTAATTTAAAAATAGTAGAAACAACTATGTAATGTCGTGACTCTTAGGGTTTTTATATTGGGCCATTACTACGTGTATATACACTGATACCATCATTAACTTTCCAAATAACTTACCAATAAATGTAAGAACGTCATGAATTTTCATTCATTTTTCATCGGAATTCATGTTTCTGGGAGATTTATGATACTATTTGCATCAATCGTCTATTTAGTTAAACTGGAACCCGAATTCAGTTAGTATATTTTTTTTCTCCAAATCCTCATCCTCAATTGCTTAACTCTAACTATGCCTTGATCGGAACCTAACGAAATGGATACGCAAATTACTTAACTCGATGTCAAATCTTTGTCTCGTTTTTACTTTCAATTTTACGTTATTTTTTATTTACAAAAATTGCGTTGACTCGAGCCTTATTAACTTGGGGTTAAAAAAGACTCTTTAACTCAACTAGTGAGTTAATTAATACCTGGCTGCCTCTCTCACTTAAACAAGATAATAATATTAACATCATTTTCTTTCCAAAAAAGGAAATAAAAGATT